GCCCAAAAATACAAGCACAAGGGGCTAACAAAACATGCAAAAATAAGGCCAAGAGAGGGATAAAGAGGCAAGTGACAAAAGGAAGCCTCAAACAGTGAAGAGCCCATCAACAATGTTGAAGAAGGGCTCAAAATAAGCCACTTTTAAGTTTATAACCAAGCTCAAAACAGTTTACAAATGAGCCTAAAATACTATGCAAGAAAGAGGCATACAAGAGAGGTAAAGAAGCAAGTGTTAAAAGGAAGCCTTAAACAGAGAGAGGCCCTTAAAAAAACATGAAGAGGAGCTCAAAATAATGCTATTCTCAGCTAGGGTCGGAGCCCAAATATGCAAGCAAGAGGAGCTAATATGTTGAGCAAAAATAGGCAAGAAAGAGGGAGAAGGAGATTTACCCTTGTAGCCTAAAACTTTGACAACTCTTGGACCAAGTTTGGTGGCTCCTTAGCTCTGGAAAATAGCTCCAAGTGGCTGGAATGGATGGTGGTGGTATGGTGTTAGGTGGTGGTGTAGAAATGGTATAGTGTTTGGGAGGTTTTGAGGGTTGGAGTGTAGAGAGAGATATATATAATGCAAATTTTTGTAACCCCTTAACACACAGCTGGGGGGTCTGCTATATAGGCAAAAGAGGGGGATAAGAGGGGGAAAATGGGGGGGAAAGAATTCAAGTTTCCCCCCCAAAAATGCAGCCCCCCGGATACAAAATCTGGGGGGAAACAGAGGGCATATCTGTAATGTACCAGTGGAGGGGATCATGGCCGGCCAGTTATTGGAGTTGTAGGTGGCCGGCCGGCCCTTCCCATGGCTGGCCGGCCCTTACCATGGCCGACCGGCCAAGGGTTAAAAGGTTCAATCATGATTAGTGGCCGGCCACCCCAGAAAGAGGGCCTCCCATGTGTGCACAACACAACTATGTAGTCAAAAACTGGAGAAAGTGAACCGGGAGAGAGAAAAGGCCACTTTTAGGAGGGGTTCAAAAGGGCCACACAGAATTACTGGCCTGCCATGTGATATTGGTGGCCTCCCAGGTGTGTACAACACAAATATGTGGTTTGGGGCAAGAAAAAGTGGCCTTAGGGTGGTCAACATTGGCTTTCAAGTGAGAAAAACGGGCGACGGAGGGCGATGGAGGGATAAAACTGGTTGTCAAAACAATTGCTGGCCTCCCACCCTTCTACGACCTTCCTAACAATGAAACAGAGGTCCCTGCCAAAAATGAACTCAAACCGATGCAAAATGGATGTTCGGGGTCCGAAACGCGTAGCCCGAGGCCCCAAAAACTGACTGTTAGGCACCGGAAGTGGTGTCCGACCACGAAGTTGGTTTTTCGAGCCACAGTGTCCCTCAAAAGGGAGCAAATAAGATGCTTGCTAAAAACCGGAACAAATGGAGGTGGTTAAGCGGTCCCGAACCGAGGCACACGGCCAACGGCTCCGAAAAATCGGAAACCGGACTCCAAACGGGCAAAATGGCCTACGACCACAAAACGTAGCCTACGGCCACTGAGAGATGATCTATGAGACCTCTCCCTCCCTTCGGGAAGAGAAAACAGAGAAAACAGAGCCTGGTTCGCAAACCGAGGCAAGACATGAAAGAGTCCGGAAGTCCGGAGGCAAGGCTCGCAGCCGAGACTCTGAAACCTCAGAACGAGTACAATATGCACCATCACCGAGCGCTCAATCGGTGATGTCTGAGTCTTAAGGTCGGTCAAAAATGGGGTGTCTACAGAATGTCAATTGTAATCACCTCATTCTTGATAAATCCTAGCATACACTGTCAATTGACGTGCCATTTAGGCCATTTGGTACAATGAAAAACGTTTCTAAAAAATAAAATACAATGGCAGTGGCAATGGTAATGATTACGACGATGGAAACACGCCCAAGGAGAATTGCCTTCTAGAAGATGAAAAGTCATGAAAACATAGATAGAGTTGTGTCCATGAGTTGCCACCTGAGAATTTTTCCACATCTCATCTTCAAGTTTCTCTAGGAAAGAAAGCACATACCTTTCTGCAAGAATTTCCGACCATGTTTAGAATTTGAAGGGTAAACTTTTTACTTATTCTCAAAGTAGAATGCACTCTTTAATTGTCGTTAGCAGCCATTCTTCGATAAAGTTTCATACAAACAATATTACAGCAAAACATGCTTTCATCCAAATACTAAAGCAGGACTCACTTTGCAAACCTCGGTATTAAAGCCACAATCCATTAAAAACAACAGCCAAGCTCTTTGTTATTAAGAGAGTCGATCCCTAGGGCCTTTAACTTCAACAAGCTTGGCTTCACCACTATAATCACCATGGAAGCGCCATAACAATAAATCAGGCATTCCACTAGACCAGCTCTGGTAACCTTGAGCCAAGTGCCGGCAGATTGAGGCCAAACAAGGGCCACCAATGCATGTCACAGCCGTTCGAAGCTCAGATAGTGAATGTCGGTCCCAATTAACTCCGTGACAAGCTGTTCCTAAATGTGATTCCCATGATGTAATAAGGATCTCTTTAGCCATTCCATCATAGATTTTTTCAAGTAGTGGTTCTAGGAGACTCTTTCTTGCTTCATAAAACCCATCAGTATCCAAATCTAAAGAGGCGGTCTACAAAATGAATGGCCCTAGCTTGAAAATGAAGTAATAGAAGAATCTTTGGAGAAGGAGTACGTAAATTGGATATATGTATAGAGAGAGGAGGGAGAACAAAAAAAAAATAGAGAATACATTACTTGTCAACTTTTCAAGGGGAGAATGATGTAAAGCCGTAGGTGTTGTTGAATGACATGCATATTTTCATTTCATACTTAAATGCTTAGTGTTAAATTGATTAAACATCCTTAGATGAATTTTTGAGACATGGTTTAGAAATATTGTTCTTTAAATATCATGCACCCAAGGGCGGAACCAGGATTACAGTATTGGGGGGGGACCAAAAGTAAGGTATAATAAAGTCTAATCGGTCGGATCAAGTCCAATTTAGACGACTAAAATCAACAAATCAATATTAAAACTAAGCTGATAAATAATTTTAAAAAATGTATTCCACGAACTTAAATTTCAATGATTTACCACTAGAAAAATGCAAATGAGGCAATGATTTACCTCATTTAAAATGCAATGATTTACCAACTCAAGGATCAGTATTGGGGATGAGAGGCTCACAAAATTTTGGCTGGATCTGTGGCTTGGTAGCGACTATTTCAAAAATTTATTTCCTCGACTATTCTCTGTGTCTATGCATAAAGGGGAATCACTGGCAGTGGTTAAGAGTAGGAGTACTGATAATGAGGACTGGGAGTTAGTTTTTAGAAGAGTTTTGTTCCAATGGGAATTGGATGACCTGAGGAGGTTGAAGGAGCTGTTGCGCACTGCTCCAGAGCTTAGGAATGGTGTGGTTGATGGGTTATTTTGGACTGCTGATAAGTCGGGAATTTTCACTGTTGACTCTGTCTATAAGTGGTGTGAGTTATCCCCTACTCTGCCTACAAATTTGGGGGATCTCATATGGAGGAATGTTGCCCTCCGAAAGTGCAATTTCTTGGGTGGTTAGTATGGAAAGGGAGGATTAAGACTACTAGTTATTTGCAAAGGATTGGAGCAATCAGTGCTAATTCTGATGCTAGTTGTAAATTCTGCGGGAATGAATTAGAGACTGCCACTCATGTGCTACTGTGCTCTCCGTTTAGTTGGCGAGTGTAGACACCCCATTTTTGACCGTCCTCAAGACTTGGACGTCACCATTGGAACACTTGGTGATTACCCTTGTTTGTGTTCGTTTGGAGTTCCCGGAGGTCTCGGCTACGTGTAGACGTCCCCGAACGCCCCGGGAGGAACGAGCTCCCGTTCCGTTCATTTTGGGGTCACTACAGCTCAGGACTCTCAAATTTGTCACGGTTCTAAGTCTGAACCAAAGAGTCCAAATCCGGCAAATCGTTTTGAGAAAACAGATTTTGAAAGAAGTGCCAAACATGGACTGCTTTGCCAGATACAGAGTCGCCACCTAAATATTTTATAT